AAGTGTTTGTGAACTAAAAATCAAGAATGTGGGATCCTGTTTGTCCGTGATTTAAACAGCCCAGCGCTTCTCCCGACGTAGGGAAAAGCAATCCTGCAGGGAGACCTACCTCGGCACTTGTGCAGGTGAAGCCAAAGGGAAGATATGCTTCACCATATTTTCTAGTCTTTGGCTTAGAATGAAGTTGGTTTGGAAACATATTTGGCGATGCTTCATCACCTGCTTTGCGTTTGTGTGGAAGCCCCGTCAAAAACCTGTCCATGATGCTAGCAGTGTGCAAGCGTCCTTTTTTTTTTTTCCCTTCCCCCCTGCAATGGCTCTGCGCCCCCCCTAGGGGGCGAACCTCACACTTTGGGAATCTCTGCCTTAGCAGATGCTGTTTTTACCGTTTCTTCCTGCAGTAAACGTAACGACGCAGTCAGTAAAAAACATCGTGTAGAGTTTTTATCTTAACTCTGGTTCGACGTGGGCTCTCACTACAATTTAAAAAGTAGTATATAGTTTAAGTCCACACTTTAAACACAAAATTTGAGAATCAGGTTTGTCTTGCGATGAGATAGCATCTTTTTGCTATGTCAACTTAAATTGGTCATGTGATTGGTTTACCACAAGTACTTTATTCTTCCTCAGCCAATCAGCAGCACTTGTGTAACTGTTTCTCCTGCTTTGCCTTCCCAGTAAGCTGAAGACAGGTTCAACCGTATGTGTGTTAAAATATAGTAACTCGTCCGCACTGCATTTTCTTGTTAGTAACGGTAACAACGTTGTAACGATAGAAATAATAATTAGTTAGGTTACTAGTTACTGAGGCTACAAACCTAGCCTATTACTAGATCATTCTGAACAAGTAAAATATGTTAAAGACAAATAACAACAACATTTAAATATCTGGCACAGCTGTAGATAAAAGAGCTTTCCCCTGAAAGGAAATCATCATCTTTTTAGAAACACTTCAGATTTAGCAAAAGTGATGTTAACTAAGATGAATCATGTGCAAAACGTGCTGCAGAGTTGTGTCTACACTGCAAAGCAGCACAACTAACTTATTCAACCACGTGAAAACACACCACAAATTGCACTTTAATTAATGCATGAAGGCCAAGAAAAACATGCAGTGGTTGCTAATGTAAATCATCCGGCTTAACGCTGATGACCATAAAAGTGAGCCTGTACAGTAAATCTGCATTTCCAGCAAACTCACAAAGACAGGCTGAGATTAACAACACAGCTGTGTTGCATATATTAGAAGGCTTTATGAAAATGGTCAGCTTACTGGTTGAAAGATACAGATTTGTTTCTTCTAAACATGCAAAATGCCACAGGGGACATGGAGAGGAAATCACAGCTGTCGAGTAGGCCTCCCTTACTACAAGCTTTTGTCACATCCATTATGTTTGTAGGATGAATGCAGTTAAAGAATTTATATGTCGCTTCTAAGAAATGCACTTAGGCTGGGTGAATCAACACCTTATTTGTCTTATTTATGTATACTAGAGAAGCATTGCCACTAGGGCTGGGCGATATGGCCTAAAATTCATATCACGTATTTTACACACTATAAGGACTTAAAATCATTTAATTTTCTCAAAAATCGAGAGTGCCTTATGTATGAATTCTGGTTGTGCTTACTGACCTCGAACCGATTTCTGCGTGCAGAAATCTGTTAAAAATGTTTTAGTACAACTTTGATAAGCTGCACTGCTTGATGGATTGTCAGAGCATTAC